AAGATTTAAAATAGAACAAATATCAATTTTATAGAAACCCTTCCAGAGAATAGAATTGGCCTGCATAACCTCAACATCAAAACCCAAAAGGCATTATAAGAAGGAAAAATTACATGTAAACTTGTCTTGTTAACATAGAAAAAAATCCAAAATAAAACATTGGCAAATTTAATCCAGCATCATATAAAAAGGTTAACACAAATTCCAGGGAGAAAGCATCTGATTGTCAGACTGGGAAGGCTAGGAATCTTGACTAAAAATCTCACTAAGATATTCTGACATAGGGAAGGAATATTTCCCCTAAAGAAAAATAAGATATTCTTGATAGCATAAGGAATAATGCATGTAAGGTTGCAAAAATAAATGCCATATATAATGGAAGGTTATATAGCTAGAGGGCAAGTATACCTAATATGCTGGCAACTAACAAGTAAAAAGATATCTGGCGCAAGCCAAATAAAAGTATGTAGGAAACATGGGAAAATAAGCACATGTACCTTGATACCAAAGCCAACAGATTCAATCATTAACTTAATCTATGTCAGCATCACCTCCTGTCTAGATTAAAACTGTGTTTCTCAGTTAATTTCACTCCAGTCAGGCACATGCCCCAAATCCATCTGAAAACCTAAATCTTCCTCAACCATTTTCACCATGTCATTTCTCTGCTGAAAACCCAACTATGGCTCCCTGTTATCTATCAACCAAGTCTAAACTAAACTCTGGCTGTTCAGGACCACCACTATTTGACCTAACCTAATCTATTCAACATTTCTTCTGAAGATGAGAATGGTGGGTTAATATGGCTACAAATTCTTTGCAGTTCCTCCCTCCATTCCCTGAATATGGAGTGCCCCTTTGACTTGCATATACTAACAGAATGTGGCAGAAGTGACACTGCGACTTCTGATGCTTGGCCTCAAGAGGACTTACAGTTTCTGCTCTTGCCCTCTTGGAACACTGCTATGGAAGAAATGTGGGCTATCCTGCTGGAGAAGCCACATGGAAGGAAACCAGCTGATGGCCCCAGCTAATCACCAAACATGTGAGTGAGGTCATCTGCAGTGCCCACCAAACATGTGAGTGAGGTCATCTGGACTGCCCAACCAGATGACTACTACAGCCACATGAGTGACCCCAGATATAACTAGAAAAACAGCCCAGCTGAGAACAACCCAAATTGAAAAATCAAGAGCAAATAAATGTTTGTTGTTTTAAGCTATTGTTTTCATTTTAAATTATATATATATATACATATATAATTTTGTAATATACAAAACCACCATTTTTAAAAAGAATTCAATAAGAAAACTCCATTTTTAAAAATAGGTAACAAATTTGAATAGACACTTGACCAAAAAAGATATATGAATGGCAAACAAGCACATGAAAAAAAATGCTCAACATCATTAATCATTATGGAAATGCAAATTGAAACTATAATGAGATAATACTACAAATCTATTAAAATAGGTAAAATGAAAATAACGGACAACAGCAAGTGCTAGCAAGGATGAGAGCGACTGGAACTCTCAAGCATTGCTGATGGGAATGTAAAATGGTACTGGTACTCTGGAAAACATTTGGGCAGCTTCTGATAAAGCTACATATGCACTTAACATATGACCCAGCAATCCTATTTACCCAGGAGAAATAAAAACTTACATTCACACAAAAACTTACAGGGCAAATGTTCATAACAATTTGTTCATATCATAACTGCCAAAAAATGGAAACAACCCTAACATCCTTCAACTAGTAAATGCATTAAAAAAAAAAAAAAACACTACGATATATCCATACTGTGGAATACCACTCATCATTAAAAAGGAATTTAAAAAGAAAATGAACTACCAATACACACAATAGCATTGATGAATCTCAAGTACATTGTGCTAAATGAAAAAAGCCAGACTCAAAAGGCTACATACTGCATGATTCTATTTATATCACATTTTGGAACAGGAAAAAATACAGAACAGAAAACAGATCAGTGGGTGTCAGGGAGAGAAGGTAGGGATAGAATCTGATTCAAAAGGGTACAACAGAATTCTACAGGGAGGTAGAATTCTTCTATAAATTGTGGTGGTGGTTACATGACTGGAAGCATTTGCCAAAATTCATAGACTTATATGCTAAAAGGAGTGAATCTTATTGTATGAAAATTATTCATCAATAAGTCAAAATTAAACACACATACAGATGCACACAAACACACAGAGCCACATACACAGCAACCTCCCATACATTGTACTCAAATATTTGTATCACTCAGAGTAATGATTTTTAAATTATTTTCCTAAATTTGTAGTACTATCAACAAAAATAGCAAAATCTAACTGGAGGGTTGGTTAACTGCTTTTAAAATTACTGTCCTGAATCTTAAAAATTGTGGTTTCAGGCTTCTGGGTTACTTTCCAATTCCAATCCATATGCCTTATCTCAAAGAAATGACCTAATTTTACAGACATCTGAATTAATCTTTGATAGTCTGACTTACGAACATAAGACATAGCAAACTGAGTACAAAATATTGCAAGAAGGGGTAAAAAACACCAATGCCAGTAGCACCTCCACTGCTCTTCCTTTTATGCCAGGGACTCTAAAATGAAATCCCTCTGGATAAAATACAAATGACCCTCGAGTAAAGCTGACACATGGGCCTAAGGAGGTATTCTTCCCTAATGAGGGAATATAATCACTGACTTATTTTCCTGAAATTATATAACTATATATAAAAACAGGCTCAGTTGTTCAATCTGTGTTTTCAGATTGTATTTATGGTATTACAACATGACCTATTAAGTGTCTCGGCTCTTAGAAATTGTTGCTACACTTCAATGCAGTAGTTGAGAATTTAATTTCAACATGAAACAATATAAAGAAAGTGACTTAAAAGACAGAAAGATTGGGGCTGGCCCCCTGGCAGGGTGGTTAAGTTCGGCACACTCCACTTCAGCAGCCCAGGTTTGCCAGTTCAGATCACGGGCATGGACCTACACCACTCGTCAGCCATGCTGTGGCAGCGACTCACAAAAAGACCCAAAGATTATTTTGCACAAGGAACAACCCATATTAAAGGCAAGCATTCCTTCATGCAATAAAAACAAGATACTTGATAGTCAGAAATATGCCAATTGAAATATCAGTATTGAAGCTGGAATTAGGAGAAAAGTAAACAATTATTTATAACTGTAAATTGTTAAGAGGCAAATTCTTTCTCGAGAAGCAAAATTCCCATGATGTAGAACAAGATTTTACTACGATCAAAGCATATTCTAAAATCAACTAGAGCAGCAGCTACTCTTGGTGATCTCCTACATGAGACTTTTAGTTGAGATTTTTGAATCACTGACTTCTCTCTGATTTCTATTCAGAGAGGCAATAGAGTTCATCAGAGCCCATGCTTTCAAGTCATACTGCCAAGATTCAAAGTTCTACCACTTGTGAAAAGCATGACCTTGGGAAAAATGATATTACTTAATATCCCTTTAATTCCTCATCTGTAAAATGATTATGAAAACAGCACCAGCATCTCATAAGGAAGTTATGGAATTCAATGAGATAATCCATGCAAAGTCTTCAGCACAGTACCTGACATACAATAAACTCTCAATAAATAATAGCTATTATTACTAACCTCTAAATTATCAATCTTTGGTTCCCATAATGAATGATTAAGACTCTACTGAAAGATCGTCTTCTCCATGATCCTCTCTGGCTCTCTCCCACATAGAAATAAAATGATATACAAATTCAAAAAGTTACCTGTCCACTTTCTAATCCCTGACTACTTTGTATCTTGCTGAATGGTACTACTACTACAAATGACAGGGATAATGTTTCATTCATTGTTGTAAAACTCTTAACACCTAGCATTGTCTTCCACATAACATAAAAAGACAAAAATAATAATATGGTGAAGAAAAAAGTTATGAAACTAACAAATGTACAGAACTGAGTCCTAAAGAAAGAGTGAAGGGCAGTGGGGGGGGAGGGGATGGGAAGACCATGGAAGTCCTCTCACAAGTCTTGAGGGTATACAACACTGCCAACTACCTTCCCCCTTCACAGAAGGCTCTTCCGCTTCCACAACACAGCTCCCTCCCCTCTCCTTCCCCAGCTACTCTGAGGGCTCTATGCACAACAGGATGTTTCCACTTTCCACTCCTCAATTTATTTGTTTCTCAAAAAGAAATAAACTTTTTCTCTACACTACTTCCCTTAGGGTCAATTACCACCTCTGGAGCAATGACTCTCAACTCTTCATGTTCTCAAATCTTCAACCTCTATCTTGAGAGACAGCAAGCACAAATACATGATCACCTTCATATATAAAGCAAAGGAATTAAAAGATACCAGATAACTTTTAAACTCACTAACTTTGAAAGCAAATATAGAGATTATCTATGTAACACTATGTTCACTTGCTCCTTGAAAATAGAAGACTCTGTTTTTACAAACAGTTGACACCTTCTAAGAGACACGTCACATTTTTTAATAGACTTAAAAGTAGCAATGATGGTAATCCTCTAGAGTCCAGATTCAGTTGTTCTATTTAAAGACGAATTTTTGTTTTTTCATTTTAATTAGTTATAGTTAGACTAACTCAGCATGTCAATTACAATACCTTTGTTATAGTCCACAGAATAAAAATGTTAAATGTATACTAATTTAAATCATACAAAGTTTGTATTTAATGTATCAAAATTATCAAAATGTTGAAGATAATTATAAATAAAAGTACATAAATTAGACAGCATAGGTTTTTAATATTAAAATTCATATGCAAAATAAGATTTACCACTAAGGAGAAATTCTCTATGCTAAATATATAGAGATATCATTAGTATAAAAAGTACCTTACTAAGATACTTAAATATTTGCAAAAAAGCAGTTTATAGAAATCATTAAGCATTTTTTAATAGCTGAATGAAGGCCTGCACCTAAAAACAAAGTACAATATTTCATCACTCTTCCTTCAGTTTTTTAGAACCTACCGTAGAGATTCAGCCATTCGCCTCAAATCTTCATTTTGTTGTTTTAAGCGTTCTAGCTTTGCCAGAATCTTGGAGAGTTCTCGGCTAGAGTGATCAGGGTGGTCATTATCTCGTACCAAGTGACCACCTATATAAAATAGCAAGGTCCCCCAGGCAAAAAGAATGAGCATAATCCAACGCCAGGAACCAGTCCATGGCCGCATTTTCAGATTTTCAGCTTACTCCCCTGGCTTCCTGGAGCTCAAAGAATTGAAAACATTGTAACTGTTTCTAGATAGTGCAAAGGTAGTAGCCTTCTGTTGTTTCAATACATGATGCTTCAGACAAATTAGTCTCTCTGGTAGTCCTGCCGTGAATCTTTCAAAGTGATCCTCCTGGTGGTATGAGTAGGAAGCTTTATTGTCCTGTGCTTCATGGGGTCTACATGCTGTGGAAAGAGTAAGAAATGTATTTAAATTATTTAGGATATGTAAAATAGCATATGCTGAGATTCATGGCGTTGAAGGAAACACATTGGTGTTGACTGGCCAACAGGCTGGCAAATAACCTAACTGCCTAATAATAAGGAAAAAAGCAAAAGCCTTTAAATCAGCACATTAAATCAACCATATACATCAGGGTTCTTTAATTTCCAGATAAATTAGTTAGTTCTAAGCCTGCAAGTCCTCTAAGCACCATCATCATTCTTCCTTCTTACATCATTGTACAACAGTTCACATATGGAGATTAAAAGATGGTATTTTTGAATAATCAAAACCAAACAAAATGTATTCAACTACATATTTTGGGCTAATGTTCTATTATCTCAAACAAAAACATGTTTTCTGTATGAGTGAATTCATTGCTACAAGATCTAATTCCATCCCCCTCCATCTCACTGCTTGGCTGCCATTATACCACTTAACTCTGCAGGTGACAGCAAATTGTCACTTTGAGGATAAATTCTAAAAGTGACATGCATATTAGCCAAGCAAATGTTATCACAGTCATTAAGCAGCTGGCAACCACTCCAAACATCACAAGCAAAGGTTCATATGGATTAGGCTAGATTATTCTTTCCTAAAATTTATTAAAAAATATCAACAATTGCAACAGAAGTCTAATAACAGTTAAATTTTAGTTATTGTGCATCTTAAACTACAAATGCATACAATTTCTCAGGCTTGGTTATGAGTTGCATTTGTCACTTCTCCATCATTAGGCTTAGAATTCCCTTTGGAAACAAAATTTTCTCCTCAAAGAGAAAATCTGTAGTCAAAATATAACTTTAATGCCATTTCATAATTCTAGAGCTATATAAGAAAAGTCATATCTCCAAACACAGAATTAACTGTAAAAGACAAGAAAGAAAAGACAAGAAATAGTTTCTTTTTTTGAGGGGGAGGAAGATTAGCCCTGAGCTAACATCCAATGCCAATACTCCTCTTTTTTTGCTGAGGAAGATTGGCCATGGGCTAACATCCGTGCCCATCTTCGTTTACTTTACATGGGACGCTGCCACAACATGGCTTAACAAGCGGTGTGTCGGATTCCGGGCCACTGAAGCAAAGCACGCACACTCAACTGCTGTGCCACCAGGCCAGCCCTAAGAAACAGTTTCTACGTAAAAGACTGAATGTGACGGGCACTTGACCACTAAATAGTTACTAAAGACTAGAGAGAAAAGTTGCAGAAGAGGCTTTGAAAACTAGAGCACAGAGCTATTTTTCTACTCTTGAACGTAAAATCTCAATTGTTTTTAAATGGTGAAGTATTCAAAAGAAAAAACTCTCTTCAAATGAGTGTCCTAGAAACATTCTACTTCCTTCTCATTTATTCCTACACTATTTTCCTCACTGTCACTAGTTTACACTGGCTAAAACACAGAATGAAAAGAATTGTACTCACTGAGAATTGCTTGAAAACCAAGTAAAAAAGCAATAATCCAAATGAAAACTTAGTGTTTTGTCTGTTCATTTAATAACTATTCTTAAGTCTATTGAAAACATTCTTTTTATTGACTCCACTGTTCATTCTGTCTCTTTCTGAAAATCCTTTCTCAAAACCCTGCTCCTCTAATCTCAAGTACCCCTATCTACTCAGTGAAACATAAGAATAATTAAGTCTATTCAATGTCTCAGGTAAAAGATTCAGTCATGTGAGGTCTACTTTTCATACTATACAGAAAAAATGCAGACATTCAAGCCTTCCTGGTTAAAAAAACAAAAAAATGAATCCACTCTGACGGTATAAGGGACGGATTTAATTCAGTAAGTCAACAAAAGAAGTTAAATATTAACATCTGAGTTAGTAATACTGTTACAACATACACAACACTGTAAAATGCTGTCATACCATATGGTGAACCTATAATATATCCTAGTTAATTCTAAGCTATACCAATAAAATATTAAATTTTTTTTACTTTTTCCATCATAGCAGAAGTTAGACAACTGTGACAAACAAAAGTAAAGATAGCTTTCTAAACAAGAGTCATTTAACAAATAATAAAAAAAAAGTGCTGTAACATTTTACTTAGAATTACAACAAAAAATTATCATAAATATTCAAAGCCAGTAAAAGTATAATATAACTTGAAAAGAAACAAAAGTTTACAGAAAAATTAATTTTGTTATATGTTACTAGGTTTTTATAAACCACCATCAAAAATATCCAAGATATTAAATTACTACAGTTTACAACAATATTGATATTACATGAGTTATAAAAAGTAAGAAATTATTGTAGGAGCAAAAGATGCTCATTTTCTTAATTAACAGCATCATTTTAACTCAATGTTTGGAGAAAATGTTCCCTCAAACTTTATTGTTCTTAGCCAGTATTTAAAAATGAGATCAACAAAAGCAAGCCAAGCTGAAAAACAAGTCATTTTCTATGTAATTTTCCTTAGTATGGTTAAAAGAGCAGGTATAGAAAGTTTTCCCTATCCATAATGAATGCCTGCTTGCTTACTTACCTGTCTACTGTTTATTGTTTGGACCATGTCTGCTAAAATGTAAACTCCATGATTTTTGTCCATTTTGTTCACTGATGTATCCCAAGTACTTAAATCAGTGTTTGGCACTTAGTAGGCACTAATAAATATTTTTGAATAAATGAATAAGTGAATGAGTCATAAAGGATATCATACATGACATATGCTAGGATGACATATGACAGAATTGGAGCACATCAACTTCAGCTGCATTTCATGCCCCACTTAAGAAAGCACATCTGAATATATGATTACAATAAACTGGTCTAAAAGGCCATAAGATCAGCAGTCTTTCAGCTACCTTTAACCACACCTTTACTTTGTCTTATTGTCCTCATTTAGAAGATTCACTTTGCAAAGACAATGAGATGACTGAAGAATGTACAGCCTTTGATATGAAAGAGATTCTATTTGTCAAAGAATTTATTAGTGAAAATATTTCAAATTTATTAGTAAAAATATTTCAACATTAACCACATCAGCTAATTTCTGACTAAAATTTATATAGTAGTGTTTGTTGAGATTTCTTCTCACAATGAGTTTTTTTCTTTTCACGTATTTATGAATTCAAGCCTGTTTGAGATTTACATACTACCCTTCATCTGCAGAATATTAAATAGAATGAAATGTGTCAGGCTTCCTTCCAAAAATTTAATTAGCGATACCACTTTTTTAAAGTAGTATGTATTTAAATGATTCATTTCTTTTGGTATTTAGAGATTCTTTGGGTTATATTTGCTTAATGTCTCTGAAACAAAAAATACACATAATTTTTCAAAGTAATTTCTGGAATCTGTAAGTCAGAGTACATCATCAGTAAGATCAGGAGCTTTACTGGAGTTACTGTGAGGCTTAAATGAGGTTAATATATATAAAGTATTTACTATAACGCTTGGCACATAAGAAGTTAGAGTCTAGGTTCTGCTATATCATAGCTAGGTAACCTCACTGAGCTTCAATTTCTTTAGCTGTAAAATGGATATAGTACCTACTACCTCTCCCACAGAATAATGGGAAAGGCTTAAATAGAATAATCTATGGGAAGCACATCAGTAGCAAACTGTTATGATGTCATATATGTTAATGCTGTTACCAATAACCAACAGACGGGTGAAGTGGTTCCCTGGGAAATTAACGTGGGCCAAGGTGGTGAGAATACCAAATCTTAACCACTAGACCACTAGGCCTGGGCTTGAAGAAAAAAAAAAATGTGCTAGGGTTTAAATTAAAAAATGAGTATGTTAAAAAAAAAAGTAAAACTATAACAAAAAAATACAACTTAACGTAACAAAAAAACCCAAAAAATTTTAAAATTCTCTGGAAAGGATTAAGAGCAGACTAAGTACTGCAGAGGAAAAGTCAAGTGAACTTGAAGACAGTAATAAAAAATATCCTCAACATGAGAAGAAAAAATTTTGTAACTCTGTATGGTGATGGCTGTTAACTAGACTTATTGTGGTGACCGTTTTGCAATGTATACAAATATCGAATCATTACGTTGCACACCTGAAACTAATATAATGTTATATGTCAATTAAAAAAACTATCCAAAGAGAAAATTATCCAGGAAAAAAAATCTGAGGGAGGTTTGACGAAAAAGAAAATTTTAAAAGCAGTCACTGTTAACAGCACTTATCTTCAGAAAGTGCGGTGTTTTACAGCTTTCACCACAGCTGTACCACCTTACGGTAACATCATCATCAACCGAAAACCGCTGGTGATAGAACTCAAGCAAAAGTTATCCATCATCATTAGCAAGAAAGCAGTTCACATCACTGGCTCCAGGGCCAGCTGGACATCTAAAGGCATTTCCCCGTTTTGGCATTCAGCTTGAAAAAGGATTCCTCAGAACAAAACTTGTCATCAAACTTGAAATAACGTACATTGAAAATAAGCTTAGTCACAGGCACATACAGAATTTCCAATGTGCTTTTAAATACAAATAAAACCATAATTTGGAGGAGCAAAATAGTCACAGAGGAAAAAAAATACATGGTAAAAAGAATTTCAGGGGGCTTCTTAGAAAAAAAAGTACAGGCTTTAGTGGACAATGGAACGACATCTTTCAAAAGGGCTGAAATAAAAAGAAATGGCAAAACTACACTTTGTTATCCAGTGAAAATATCTTCAAAAGTAAAAGCAGGTTTCTGTGAATGTAAGTTTTCATTTAACTTGTGTAAACTCCTAGGAGTGGGATTGCTGGGTCACACGGAAAATGCATGTTTATAAGAAAATGCCGAACTGTATTCCAAAGTGGCTGAATCATTCTGAATTGTCACCAGCAATGAAAGCAAGTTTCTGTTGCCCCACAATCTCTCCAGCATGTAGCAGTGTCAATTTTTTTAAGCAATTCTAATAGTTTATAGTATAGTGATATCTCAGTGTGGTTTCAACCTGTATTCAATTTCCCTAATAACAAATGACATTGAACATGTGATCATCTTATGTGCTATCCATATATCTTCTTTGGTGAAGTGTCTATTGAGATCTTTCGCCCATTTCTATATTAGACTGTTTGTTTATTTGAGATTTATATATTCTGGATACAAGTCTTTTATCAGATACGTGATTTTTCAAATATTTTCTCCCA